CTCTTCGTTCTTCTTCTCGTCCTCCTCCTCCTCGTCCCCCCGTCCTCAGTATCGATCAACCGATCCCCATCCCCATCCCCATCCCCATCCCCATCCACATCTCGAGCCCCACGGTCTCACCACCTCGGTTGGGGATCGGCCCCTCGGGGACCGAAGAGAGCAGCCTATATCCGCATCAGTGGGGCAAACCGGCCAGTGGGGCCCAGCCCACGCTGGTGCGGATGGGGATGGGTATACGACCACGATTTGCGAATCCCCCTCTTGGGCGCCCCCCCTCCCTGGACGCACCCGAGGAACGGCGCAAACATGATTGCTCCGAGGTCCGCCCGGATTTCCTCGATCGGCGTCAGGCCCACCTGGCGGCGCCTGCGGCGGCGCCTCCGTCGCCACCCCAGGCGCGCTCCGCGCGCCAGGGAGAGGAGTCCAGCGCCGATCACAGAATTGCGCAGGCCTCACAGAGTTCACGATCATGCAGAATGTCTTCCCCCTGGAGGTTCCAGGTTCGAGGCTTTCGGGCGTTCTCGTGGGTCATCGGCGTTCTCCACCCTCGGGATGCCTTCAGCGGCTGCGCGTCCCCCGATGGCGTTCCCGCGGTGCTGGGATCGTCCTGAAGGGCCTCTGGAGAGCCGAGCTGTGCCCCGAATGCCGCGACTACGTAAGGCATCCGAATGCCAGGGGAAGCAGATACCCCATCTTCCTCTGATAATGTCGGGTCGGGCGAAAGGGGGGCGTTGGGAAAGGGGGGTTACGAAATTTGCTGCATGCAGCTGGTTTCGGCCTCACCGAGGGGCTCATTCCTCGATACATAGCCTCCTCCGGCGCCGGGAGGCGCCGGGAAAATCAGCTACGCGAGCTGATTCTCAAACCCCCCCTTTGCCATCCCCCCCTTTCGCCCGACCCGATAATGACACCCAGAAGAAAAAAAACGCAAACAGGAAGAAGGCGCATGGATCAGCGACGGGTCCCCTTTTCATGCGACATCGCGGCGCGTTCCGTCGCCATCTCGGGCGGCACTGGCTGCCTTTTCGCGGGTACTTTCCCCGATCCGTGGATCCGAGCCTGCGAAACATGCTGCATGCTGGTCGAACTTGCCGCCCACCTCATTCTGGCGGGCGTGGGCCATCTCGCTGGAGACCCATTCGCAAATATGGCATGCTCTCACTTTTGGATCGCCCTTGGAAGTCCTGAGGCTCCCTGATTGCGATGCCGCTCGGGACATCCTCAACCCAACGAGTCGGTGCCAGCATGGCCACAGCGGGGCAGCTGCGCACCTCGCGCCAACCGCGCCGGTTCAGGTGGGTCCACGGTCCCGATGTTACCCCCCAAAGGCAGGGGGGGGGTGGATGGGGACGCCGCGTTGTGTCGGCTCAGGCTTCCCGCCTGCGGGTAGGCTTAAGTCGGGCGTGTTCCCCTACAGAGGGATTTTCGACGAGAAAAAAAAAATCCCCCACAAACGCCCCCAAAATATTACAAAAAACTAACAAACTTGTCCCCAGACCATTTTTGGACTATTTTTGGATTATTTTTGATGTATTTTTTAAATTTTTTCGTCGACAATTCCCCTGTAGGGGGACAGACCCAACGTAAGGGTTTGCGCCGCCAGGCGCGCCCTCCTCGCGGACCCGCGCGCCGGTGCTGGTACGGGCGAGGCGCCCGGCACCCCGCCCGGCCCTGACGCCTGGGCCGCGGCCCGCACGGCTGCGCTGCGGGACGCCCGTGGGATGCCGTCTGCAGGCGTGTCCGCCGAGGTGAGGTGCGCAGCGTGTCCAGGGTTAAGTCGGGCCTGTCCCCCTACAGGGGGATTTTCGACGAAAAATTAGAAGTTCCCCAAAAATATTGAAAAAAAACAAAAATAGTCTGGGGACTATTTTTTGAATATTTTTTGGCCCTTTTGGAGTATTTTTGGAGTATTTCTCATTTTTCGTAGAAAATCCTCTTGTAGGGGGACACGCCCGACTTAAGTCTAGGGGAACAAGAACTGACATAAACACAAAAACTCGGAGGTCCGCGCGGATTTCTCGGATCTGCGCTGGGGCCCCCCCGGCGGCGCCTCCAGCGCCGATCTGAGAAATCCGCGGGGACCTCCGAGTTTTTTTGTTTATGCCACTTTTTGTTCCCCTAGTGTCGGGCGGGGGGGGGCCGACGCCGTGGGGCGCTGCCGGCAAGCCGCCGCCGCCCGCCTCCGCACCGCGAGGTGCGCGGGCAGGAGGGCAGGTGGAACGGCTTCTTCGCGAGCCCTCCGGCGCATCGGGTTGCTCCTACCCGCGGGGGGCGGAGGGGCGGGCGCTGTCGCGCGATGGCGGCGGCTCGTCTTTTCGCGCCACGGAGGGCGTGGGATAAGCCTTGCTCCATAGTCTTGACGCTTCGCGTAACCCCACCAGCCCCTACCTGTACGGCAAGTTTCGGCTGCGTGATCTATGATTTCGGCACGGCTTCCGCCTGGAATGCGGATGGGCCTCGCCACGGCTATCCTGGAGGTGCGCGGGCCCACACTCCGCCGTCCTTGGTGACGCTTGTTCTTCCCCACGCCCAGCATCTACTCCGTGGTGCTGCTTCTCCGCATCCGCCTTTTTGGCCTCCACTGAGTTCCGCCTGTCCCGGCGTGCTCGTTGCCCTGTTTCTTCCTTCGCAGGTGGCATAGCCTGCCCTTGCTTGCCCGGCGTCCGACTTGATTCGTGCGCCTGCGTACCCCAAAAACACCCACCAGCCCAACCAGAGACGATGTCCAGAGGAGTTGCCTCGATGAGGGAAGTGGGCAGCACACGGGGTCCCAGGGGCCTCTTGGAGCGTCTAAGGTGCCTCGGGGAGCCTTTTGGGGCCTCTTGGTGGTCTCCTGGGAGCCTCTGGGAGGCCTCTTGAGCGCCTCTTGGGGCCTCCTGGGCGCCTCGTGGGGCCCTCTTGAGGCGCTCTTGGGAGCCTTCGGAACGCTCTTGGGGCCATCGTGGAGAAGCTCAATCGACCGAGCAAAATAGGAGCTCTAATCACGCTCCCCTCCGGGAGCCCCGTAAAATCGCCTCTTGGGCCCTTCTTGGGGCGCTATTGGAGCGCTCTTAGGCGCTGTTTGGGCCGTCTTGGGCTTTTCTTGGGACCCTCATGGGCCCTCTTGGAGCCGTCTTGAGGCTTCGGAAGGCCATCAGAAGCGAAAAGGCGAGAAGGCAACATTCATTGATTTCCTGCGGCTTTCGAGGATTTGGGCCTCTTGGCGGCCACCTGGGGAGGTTCCTGAGGAGTCTCCGTGGCCACTCGGAGCTGTCTTGGAGCGGTCTTGGGGCTTCTTGGAGCATCTTGGGAACCATATTTAGCCATCTTTGGCTATCTTGGGCCGTTCGGGCAGTCACCCTGGGCTTTCTGAGGCCCTCCTACAACCATCTTGGGCCATCTTGGACGCCCTAACGTCCCGTGGCCCCACCGTTCCAGGTCAACGCATCCCCGAAATTGAACAGGGAGGGGTGGATGAGGAAACGCGCAAGACCACCTCCGCCCAGAGGGCTGGTGGGATTATCGTTCGCCCAGGATGCGCTTTGAGTATTCCAGGTGTCCTGGTTGTCCCATGTTGGCTCCAGACCCGAGGGCTGCTAAATCCTGGAACGCGTGTTGAGACAATCGCATCACGATCTCAATCTAGTTCTAGAACAAATGGCATTTACCTCGGGGATTCATCGGTGACGGTGAGATGGAACAGTTTTTTCCCAGATCGACCCTGCTCGCCGATGCATCGGCGAACGCGCCGCGACCTCCGACCTCATCTGCGCCGGTCTCTCTTGGCTGGCCTGGGCCCCCTTTCCTTCCCATACAGTGGAGGCCGCTGTCAAGAAACACCCTGCTTGCCTCCAGGGTGCTGGGTTTCGATGGTTTTGCTGTGGAAGGCGCGACATTCCTACACTACGAATCGATGGACGTCCTGGGGTCTCAGGCTTGGGTTTCTGGTGGAAGGTTCCTGGTGGACTGGCCTCCACTGTACCCTCCACAGGCCCATGGTAACCCTTCGCCCGCCTCGACGGGCGAGGGTCCCCTGTCCTCGCCTGGGCTTCTCGTCCCTCCTGGAATCCCCCCCCCTGGGGCAAAGGGAAGGTGCGCCGTCCTGCCTCGGGCGCGTGCGGGCCCGGCGGCGCTTGCTCAACTCGCGTCGCCACATGCCGCCCGCGCTGTCGCCCCTCCCCACTCCCCCCCCCTCTCTTCTTCGGTGAAGTCGGCCTGTCCTTCTACAGAGGGAATGCATATTCAAAAATAATCCAACAGTAGTCAGGGGAGTATTTTTTGAATATCTTTTTACCACGTGGGAGCAGTTCTGGAGTATTTTTCATTTATCGTCGAAGGTCCCCCTGTGGGGGGACACGCCCGACTGAATTCTTCGGTTGCCACGTGTGTGTGTGTGTGTGTGTGTGTGTGTGTGTGTGTGTGTGTGCGTGTGTCTGTAGGGCGCAGGGGAACGTAGTTGCCCCGCCCCTGGGAGGGCCTGCCGGTCGCCCACCAAACTGTCGGTTCAGCCCGCTCGGAGGCAGCAGCGGACCCTGGGGGGACGGCTGCGTCTGAGCGGTCCTGCCGCCGCCACCCTGTCCCGGATCCCAGGAGGAGGACTGCGAGGGAGGAGGAGGACGAGAGGGAGGAGGACTTGGACAATGAGGGAGGTGGAGGAGGAAGAGGAGGAAGACATTGAGGGAAGATGAGTGCGAGCAGGAGGAGGAAAACGACGGAATTTGGGGAGGAGGAGGAGGACGATTCTGATGATGATAATGATGATGGTGATGATGATGCTGATGATGATGATGATGATGATGATGATGATGATGATGATGATGGTGCTGCTGATGATGCTGCTGATGATGATGATGCTGATGATGCTGATGATGATGGTGGTGATGATGAGGAGGAGGAGGAGGAGGAGGTGAGTTGGGGTGGGCATAGGGAGGAAAATAGTGAGGGAAGAGGAGAGATGAGGAGGACGAGGACGTGGACGAAAAGGGTGGATGAGCAGGAGGAGGACCCCCTTCGCGCGCGAGGATTGACCGCGGCCGGGGCGTCCTCCACGCCAGCGGTCCGGAGGCGCCCACACCCCACACGACAACCGCCGACGGCGCCGCTATCGTCCTCGTCCTCGTCGTCGTCGTCGTGCCCCGAACCCCTTGCGTCGTGAAACGATCGCGACGGGCGGATTTTAACCACTTTGGCATCTGGGGGTCCTCGCCTTGCCTCGGGACCGCTCTGAAGCGTCACTGAATAGAAAGCCGGTCCTGGGGGATGGGGCTAGAGATCTTCGGGGATCGCGCTTGCGAGCAATAATCACGACATCCGGGGACTGGGTAGCAAGGGGAGGAGAAGAACGAGGAGGAGGAGGAAGAGGAGGAGGAAGAGGAGGAGGAGGAGGAGGACGAGGACGAGGACAATCAGGAGCAGGAAGAGGAGAAGGAGGATGAGGAGGGGGAGGAGGAGGAGGAGGAGGAGGAGGGGGGGGGAAGGCGGAGCATATGAGCATATAGTTTCCTGTTCAGACCGCTCTGGCAATGCCAAGAGACGATCAACCCAGACATCGGGGAGGTACATCGGGCTCGAGCAAGGGCTAGCCGCCTTGCGTCTCGCTGCCCCACCGACCACACCCCGCACAGCCATGGTTCAGCCGTTGCTGCCCCGCGGACCAACTGCCAATTGAGGGAGGATAGGGACAGCGCCGTCGAAGCGGAGGTGGGGCATGAGGGGGAGGGGGCAGAGAGAACACGAAGACGGGTGGAGCAGAGCAGTCAACCTCACCAACAGACATCTCACCTCCATGATCAGCGCATCTACAATCACAATGAAACGACACAACCAAGCAAACCATCATCACGGTATCACAATGGCTGAAGTCGTGCCACGACTACGACGAATCCATGACATACGATTGGGCAGTACGCATACACGGCACAACACGGCTCTCAAAGCACATATGCAACCCAATCGAAACGTCACACGATGGCCACAACCTCCCCACATTTGCTTCATGCTCCACCTTTTTGAATACCCACCATAACCAACACGACAGGTAGACCCTACTACACAACAGCAATCCACTACCACGTCTGCCCAACGACCAACAGGCACAAACACACCTACCACGCAGCAGCCCAACACCGCCCGAGTGATCCGAAGCCCAATCCACCCACCTCCACCGAGACTCGAGATCCGTGGACTCGACGGCTCAGATCTGCGAATCGAGCTCCGTTTCTTCGGGGGCGGCCAAGATGGGGTTGAGATGACTCGGGGGGGGGATATCATGGCCAGGGCAATGATGTCTCGTCTGATCTCATGCCCCCCCCTTCTCTCAATACGTCCCTTTGTCCCCTCCTCGTCCGCGCACATGACTCGGGCTACGATCTGCGAAACCCCTTTGTCGACGCTTCCTCTCGTCCCGATGTTTTCGAGACGCTGGCCCCGAGCTGTCGACCATTTTCCCTGGGGACTGGTTTCTCATCCTGAGTCGAGCTTGGGCGATCCCGAGGCCTGGCGAGGGCCCTGAGAGGCCGAACACGATACAACCTCCGTCTCGAGCTCGAGAGACGCTGGATGTCTGCGTTGGACGCGCCCGAAGCGGGTACGCTCGAGGAGCGCTGAAGAATTGATGGGTCTTGCGTTTGCGCACGTGTCACTTTGTGGAGCCCGGTGCCCAGGCGCGAACGTTCACCACCCACCAGACCACTCCAGCCCAACCCGAAGGCCTCAATTTGTTTGTCCTCCCTTTCCATTGGGGGGGGCGGGGAACATTGAGAGAGCACATCTGGTACCCCCCCCAACCCAAAATTCGGCTCTTCGGGTCGGGTTGGTGTGGTCCGGTGGGGAGTCAGCGGCCGAGCGACCCGTCACGCAGAACGCCTTTGCTGACGCGGTTCGCTGCCTCAGCGGCTGCCTGTTGCAAGGCGAGCCGCGCAACGAGGCGCCGACGCATAGAGCGCCGCGCGGGCGCCCGAGTTTCTTCGAGCGAGGGCTGGGCGGCTCGGGGCTGCTTCGGCCCGTCTCTGGGGGGCCTGCTGGGCCGTCCTGGAAGCCTGGGAGGGAGCCCCTGGGGAGGCGCCGTGGCCGCCCAGGGAACCCCTTTGGGGAGTAGTTGTGGCCTGCGCTGGCGGCAGGGCGCGACGCGGAGGGGGGGCCGGGTCTCCTCAGAAGGCCAGGAGGAGGAGGAGGAGGAGGAGGAGGAGGAGGAGGAGGAGGAGGAGCCCCACCAGACAGAGCTCGGCAGATCTGCCACGCCTCCGTGGGAGCGATGCCGAGCAATAGGGGTCGTCTGCGCCGGCCGTTGGCGAGGGAGCCGCCCGCGTGAGCTCGCGCGCGGGCTCTCTCTCGCTCGCCTCGAACTCGTCGTGCCGCGCGGGCGGCCCGCGCAGGGCGGCGGCGTGAGGTCGCTTGGCCATCTCGCGCCCGCCCCCTTCTTTCTTTGATCGTCGCTCAACGTCGCTCCTCCTCCCTTCTCCTCCTCCCTCCTCCTCCTCCTCCTCTCTCCTCCTCCTCCTGCTCCTCCTGCTTCTCCTCCTCCTCCTCCTCCTCCTCCTCCTCTTCCCCCTTCCTCCTCCTCCTCCTCCTCCTCCTCCTCCTGCAGTATGGAGTGTCGGGCTCCCTTCCCAAGAAGCCCGAGGCGCACTGGATGTGGATAAACTTGCCCCCTGGGGGCTCGATCTTTATCCATGTCCAGTGCGCCTCGGCCTTGTGGCGCCGCTTCCAAAAAAGTCCAAGAGGCACTGGATATGGACATGAATCTTGCCCGCAAACGTGCCAGGGGGCACCGTGGTTCGGATGCGACTCCTGGGAGGTCAAATTCTGACTCTGCCCCGCGTCCGACATCCGGCTCAATCCCGTTCCATCCCGTTGAGTCGAGGGTTTATCCCGCTGCTTCCGAGGCTCGATCCGGCGTAACAGCCCCCCCAGTGGGGCTTACTCTTTTGTCTTTTTTCCTTTTACCCTTCCGACGACTTGGTATCCCTCGTACACGAGTGCCCTTTTTCTCTCGGCGGGGATTCTTGAGGAGACTCCCGGACCATCCTGCGAAAAAACCTCGCATGGAACCGAACAAAAAGCACAGGGAATGGACGTCCGAGCGATGGCCAGACGTCGCAGGCCTAGAGGTTGACACCAACACCAAGATCGGCGGTGTGCTTCCACCGAGCGAAGACGATCCCGATCTCGGTGATGCTGATAATATTCTGGCTTCCAAGGTGGCCGAAGTATTGCCACCAGCAACGAACTCTAGGACCACCTTCCCCATGTGGAGGCAACCCCCTGTGCTGGTGTTGCTGCCAATTTCCAGGCCTCCAATTCCCCCCTTGTGGCGCGCCGCCGACTCTGGTCGTGGAGAGGTCTACGACGGCCGGTCGATGGGGCTTTCAGTCGATGCCTGGAGGCTTCCGAAGGCCCCGGGGTGCCTCGGCAACCGTGCCCTCCCGCGGGCGTTCCAGGGGCGCCCGGATCGTCCCGAGAGGCCGCCTGAGACGTGCGCAGTGGCCCGGCAATTTGATTTCTTGGCCGCGGCCCCGTCGATAGCCCCTCCTCCCTCCTCCTCCCTCCTCCTCCTCCTCCTCCTCCTCCTCCTCCTCCTCCTCCTCCTCCTCCTCCTCCTCCTCCTCCTCCTCCTCCTCCTCCTCCTCCCCCATCCCGTCCTTCTGGGCCTCCTAGATCAGGTCGAAGTAGATGGTGGCGGAAGTTCGCGCCGCCCGGCAACTTGATTCCTTGGCCAGCAGCTGCCTCCCGACGGTGGCGGGCCACGGCGGCCGGGGGCCGCGGCGGCGCCCTCTCGGCCCAAGACCCGCGCCCCGCGGCGGGAAAGCGGGCCCGCGGCGCCCAGGCGGCCCTCGGCGAGCTGCAGAGGCGCCGCCCGGGCGCCGCGCGCGCAGGGGGATCCGGGAGGAGCAGTAATCAGGAGGGGAAAAAACACACAGGCACAATTCATCGTCGATCCCTAGGAAAATGTGCGAAAATATGGGAGGTGGGGGGGAAGACGGAAACCCAGAAACCATGGGGAACTATAGGGAATCTTTTTATCTGTGTGTATTTGTGTGTGTGTTCTGGGGCCCCTGTAATTAAGTCGGGCCTGACCCTCTACAGGAGGGATGTCCAAAGATAGTATAAATATAGTATGGGGACTTTTTTGAGTATTTTTATTTGTTCGCCCAACCTCCCCCTGTAGGGGGACAGGCCCGACTTAAAGAGGAGCAACTATGCAGGAGGAGGGGGAGGATCGAGGAGGAGGATCGAGGAGGAGGACCGGGGGGGGGGTGGAGAAGGGGGTCGACGAGCCAGGCGCGCTCGCGTCGTGTCCGACGTCCCGCCCCTCCAGTCCCATGCCTCACCATGGCGAAGAGATGCGCTCTATTCGCACCGTCGGATGTCGAGCAGGGCAGCGACCGCGAGAGGGTACGCGATGTATGGCAGAGCACGGCATGGCATGGCGTAGAAGAGCACGGCAGAGCGCAGCATGCCATATCATGTCGTGGCATTGCGTAGTGAAGCATTGCAACGCAAAGCATGGCATCGCACAGCGGCGCAGAGCACAACACCGCACAGCATGGCTTCGGAGGGTGAGTGCATCGTCTTCGAGGTCTGGGCTGGTTTGGAGTCATGGCTCCATGTCTAGCTCCTTGCGTTCCCCGAAAAGCTCCACATCATGCGGGGCTGATGTAGAGCACCCGCTGGCTCTGCTTTCAACATCGCCTTCTCAAAGCAGAAACGGGGCTCAGGCTTGATACTTCCTGAAAGCGACGACGCCCCGAAGGTTGGGGCTTCTGCGGCCCCAACTCAACGCATCGGCCGCATCGACACTAAATGTGTAATCACTGCCCATGTTTTTTTTCGGGGGGCCATTTTCTAAATTTTGGAGCCTAATTAGAAGGAAGGCCAGCGCTGCAGCGAGAGCACACTTTGGAACGAGCGGAAGCCTGAAAATGAGGCCAGCGCCTCAGCGGGCGCATCATTTTGATACCAACCCAAAGCGAAAACCCAACTCCTAGGAATCCTGTGTTAAAAACCAGTACGCAGAGGGGGCTCCGGACATCTTCTGGACGCCCTCAGGGGAGAGAGGAGAGTAGTATTCATATTGTATAACTGTGAAGGAGCGAGGAGGAGGAAGAGGAGGAGGAGGAGTATCATCGAGCAGGAGGAGGAGGAAGAGGAGGAGGAGGATGAGGAGGAGGAGGAGGAGGAGGAGGAGGAGAAGGAGGAGGAGCATCGAGGGACGCCGCTCGCTCGCCCCCCCGCTCGCAGTCGATGTCTCGTCCCCAATCCCCCGGCCCCATCGGGTCACGACGAGATCACGGAGGAGTTGATGTTCACTGTTCCTTGACTGGGCCTCGGGACCGTCAAACAGGCTGGTCTTGGGGCATGGGGCGAGATCTCCAGGGGTCGACGTTATGTTATATGAAATCATGAGGTCGGGAGAAGGATCAAGCCGGCCCTGGTCCTGGCTCGGGCCCTCCTCCTGCGCGCTCGCCGTCGTCTGCTTGCTTCGCGTTATCCCTTGCTCCCTCTCCGTCGCCGCGCAGCGCTGGCTGCTGGAAGCCGGCGTCGGGCCCTCGGGTATGGTTGACCCAAAGGGGGGTCCAGCAAAGGGGGGTGGTGCAGCAGATTTGGTGCAATAGATCTGTGGGGAAGCAAAAGATTTGGGGTGTGCAACACGTTCCGGGGCGCAGACATATTGCTGGATTTCCGCGTGCAATATTTTCAATACAATGCAATACAATTCTCTGGTGCAATACATTTGCAATACAATCGACCCAAACCTATTGCACCACCCCCTTTCAACTGGACCCCCTTGTGGGTCAATCAAATCGGGGGGGGTGCGCACTCCGGACGCCCCCGGCGTGCCATTTGCATGACAGGAAATGGAGCTACTCAGGAAATCAGGGAACTCCGGGGGCACATGCCCAAGGGGCTGCTCGGACGCAACCCTTCTATCGAGGATGGGAGCCCCTCGTCGAATGTCCCCGAGCGGGGGACGACCGAAAATCCCAAGAGGCCCTGGGGTTTGGGTCGCCCTACCCCCCTTCCCCGTTGCGCCCCCCGCTGGGCGGGCAGGGCACGGCCCCGCCGATGGGCCTCACATGCGCCTCCTCGTCGTGGAGAAGCCGAGGCTTCGGGCTCGAGGTTTTGGGCGTCCTCGTCGGCGTCGGGAGGCTTTCCAACCTCGGGATGCTTGTTCCAGCGGCCGCGCTCCGCCGAGGGCGTTTTTTGGGGCTGCCCGGCTCGTGCCGGACGGGCCGCCGGAGACCCGAGCCATGGCCCGAAGACGTGCTGTTCTGGACGCGGCCCCCCGCCCATGGGCCCCTCCTCCCATCCTCGGCGGCGCGCCCAGAAGGGCAGCGGGCGGATCGGGGCTGGACAGAACCCCCAACAGTGACACGTCGATTCGTGAATTGTCCGTGTTCGGTCCTCGAGAGGGCGCCGTGGCCGTCATTTTCCAGGCCTGCGCCCACGAGGTTTGGGCCCCAGGTCGTTTTCACTAAGCCACGTTTTGCTAAAGGGGGCTCTGTCCGTCCCCGAGCTGAGCGCGAAGTCGTGCAGGACCCGGGCTGCACATGCCGGGCGGCGCAGCTGCCGGGAGCAGCGCGCCCCCGCGGTGCGGCCAAGGCCTCGGCGGCCAGCGGCTCACCGCGCTCCGGGCCCGGAACCTCGGCGGCGCGCCCCGTGGAAGGCAAGGGGGGGGCGCGGGCTCCAGCCCTGCGAGCAGCTGCCAGAGCCCTTGGCATCGCTCGGACGTGTGCATTTTTTTTTCGGCGAGATGCATCGAGGACCATCCTGGACCATCGAGCAACAAAAAGCAACACGCACGAAACCGAAACATTTTCGGCGAGATACACTGAGGACCATCCTGGACCATCGAGCAACAAAAAAGCAACACGCACGAAACCGACAAATTTTCGGCGAGATACACTGAGGACCATCCTGGACCATCGAGCAAAAAAAACACGCACGAAACCGACAAATTTTCGGCGAGATACATCGAGGACCATCCTGGACCATCGAGCAAGAAAAAACACGCGCGAAACCGAACAATGCACAGGAAGTGGACGTCCGAGCGATGGCAAGAGCCTCCTCCGGAGCCCCGCCGCCTGCGGGCAGGGCTGCCCCCGCTCGCTCCCCCCCCCTTGTGGCGCGCCGCCGACCCTGGTCGTGGATCCCTAAGGGCTTATCGACTTTTCGCCAATCGACTTGTGGGAGTCGAGCCAGATAGATCTTGGTAAAAGCAGATAAACCGAGATACATCAGGGTAAATCCAGGCAAATCGAGATACATCCGGATACATCCAGATAAATCCAGAGATCTCCAGGGAAAGTTGGAGCAATTCGCGGCCGCTCCAGCGCGAGTCGAAGGACGGCAGAAGTCGTTAAGCCTTTAACGAGTGGAGAGGTCTACGATGATCTCGGGCGTGTCCCCCTACAGGTCAAACAACACACCAAACATAGTCCCCTGACTATGTTTGGACTATTTTTTTGTCCATTTTGGGGGTTTGTTTTTAATTTTTCGTCGAAGATCCCCCTGTACGGGGACAGGCCCGACTTGAGTCTACGACGGCCGGTCGATGGGGCTTTCAGTCGATGCCTGGAGGTTTCCGAAGGCCCCGGGGTGTCTCAGCAACCGTGCCCTCCCGCGGGCGTTCCGGGGGTGCCCGGATCGTCCCGAGAGGCCGCCTGAGACGTGCGCAGTGGCCCGGCAACTTGATTGCTTGGCCGCGGCCCCGTCGATAGCCCCTCCTCCTCCTCCTCCTCCTCCCTCCTCCTCCTCCTCCTCCTCCTCCTCCTCCTCCTCCTCCTCCTCCTCCTCCTCCTCCCCCTCCCGTCCTTCTGGGCCTCCTAGATCAGGTCGAAGTAGATGGTGGCGGAAGTTGGCGCCGCATCGATACATCGAAGATGCGGTTCGATGTGGAGCCCGATTTTCCCCACGCCGACGTCGCCGATACAACACCCATGTCGACGATGCGTCGCCAGGGTATCGCTGATGCATCGTCGATGCATCGCTGGTGTATCGGCGATGCGACGCGATCCTCCGACCCCATCTACTCCGACCACATCTAGGAGGCGTCTAGTCCAGAAGAACTCAACACGGACTGCTTTTGGCACCCTGCGATCCTGGCGCTGGAATCCCTTCGTGCCGGGCGGAAGTTGGCTGCAGAAGTCTCGATGGGGTCTAGGGCTTCGGGGTCTCCGAGTGGAAGGAGCCGGGTTGACCTAAAAGGGGGTCGACAGGGGGGTGGTGCAATAGATTGGGTGCAATTGATTTGTGGGGTTGCAATATTATTTGGGCGTGCAGTACATTTCAGGGCGCCAATGCATTGCTGGATTTCCGCTTGCAACGCATTACTTGCAATACAATGCAATGCATTTTTTCCGGCGCAATGCATTTGCAATACAATTGCCCCAATTCTATTGCACCATCCCGTTCAGCTGGACCCCCTTGTGGGTCACCCAGAGAGAGGGAAGAGGCGAGGGATGCGACGGAGGTTTTCGGACGTTATCGTATGTTCTCGGATGTTTTCTGACCTCCGGGTGCCTTCAGCAGTTTCGCCTCGCGAGTGCGCTCCGGGGGTGCCTTGACCGTCCCGAACTGACCGCCGGGTTCTGAGCCGAAAGCCGTCTCCTCGGGCAGTTTTTTTTGGGGGGGGGAGGGATGTTGACCTCGTCAGGGGCAACGCCAGGGTGGAGTAGAGGCGGGGATGCATCGACTCCCAATCGCCCAGTCATCGCCGAAAGGCGCCCGATGACCCTGCCCGCCCAGGCACGTGCGGATGTGCAATCGGTGGCCTATCGCCGATCCATCGGAGATGTACCACTGATTCCAAGTCGACGTGCCCCCCCCCCCTAGCCAGACCCTCCCTGTCGTTCCCCCTCACCTCTGGGGGGCGGCGTGTTTTTTTTTTTTTTTTTTTTTTTTTTTTTTTTTTTTTTTTTTTTTTTTTTTTTTTTTTTTTTTTTTTTTTTTTTTTATATATATATATATATATAATAGATATATATATATATATATAACAAAAAAACATTTTCTGTTTTTCGCCCCACATTCCCCTGTAGGGGGACACGCCCGACTCAACCCCGGCCCACCACTCGGGCCTGCCAGTCAACGTCGGGGAGAACGGACGACGGCTCGGACCACGACTCTGCTGGAGGACCGTGCAGAGTCCTCGGATCTCGATCTCGGGGGGGGGGGCAACAGCGTGCCAACGACACGCCGCCGTGGGGAGCCGGTCAGCGCACAGTGCTCCGTCGTCTGTGCTGCAGTGCCCGGTGGCTTCTCGGCGTGATGGGTCGCCCGCGGCGGCGTGCCCCGGATGGCCGTGCTGCTCCGCGAGCCCTGGCGCCCCACTTGGGAGGGTGGGGCCCCCCCTCTTCGCCTCCTCGGGGGGGGGGCCCTGAAGGGAGGGGTGTCCTCACCGTGCGGTGGCTCAGTGGGGACTCGGGGTCACCGCGCGGTTTGGGACGGGGCTCCTCTCCGAGGGCGCTTGGGGCGACTGGGGCCTCCCGAGGCTACAGAGCCGTGCGGTGACGGACCGCGCGGTGAGGTCGTCGGGGTAACCAACGCCCAAGCGAGGACAGGCGCACGGTCTTGCGCGCCTCGCCGCCCTGGCAGCCCTAGATGCTCCAGGTGTCTTCTCCCCCGTCGCCTCGTCGCTCGTTCTCCCTCTGGTCTCGCGTCCTCTTCGTCGTCGTCGTCGTCGTCGTCGTCTTCATCGTCGTCGTCGTCGCCGTCGTCGTCGTCGTCCTCCTCCTCCTCTTCGTCGCTGTCGCCGTCGCTGTCGCCGTCGTCGTCGCCGTCGTCGTCCCGACCCTCTCCCCAGGACGGGCTTTGCACCCTGAGTCGTTTCTTGACGGCCCCGGGGCCTGCCGAGGGCCCCAAGAGGCCAACAGGGACGAAGCGCCTCCGTGTTGAATCTGTCAGTCCGATGGAGGCTCGGGTTGTCGTCGTGTTCCGAATCTCGAGAAACGGCGGAGCGCCGCGCGCGCGCGCTGCCGCAGGCAGCTCGCCAGCCTGCGGGGCCCCCGCAAGAACGTCAGCGCGGCGGTCCGGGGGCGGGCGCGCACCACTGACGGCCTGCCGCCTCGGGGAGGGGGGGGGGCAGAGCACCGATGGCACGCCGCTGCTGGGAGCGCGTAGCCCCCGACGCCTCCTTCTTCTTCTCCTCCTCCCCCTCCTCCTCCTCCCCCTCCTCCTCCTCCTTCTCCTCCTCCTCCTCCCTCCTCCTTCCTCCCTCCTCCCCTTCCCTCCTCCCTCCTCTCTCCTCCCTCCTTCCTCCTCCTCCTCCTCCTCCTCCTTTTCCCTCCTCCCTCACCCCTCCTCCCTCCCCCCTCCTCCCTCATCCCTCCTCTCTTCCTCCCAACTCCTGCTGCTGCTCCTCCCTCCTCCTCCTGAAGCAGGAGCTGCTGTGGCCCGCAGCAGCCGAACGTGCGCTCTCACAGCACCGGCCACAGGGAACACCAGAGGCGTGGATGTATCCGTCGCGCGAGGTCGCGGGCCTGGGCTGGCCTGCAGCTCGCGTTCTCGCTCGCCCCCGCCCGTGGCTTACAATCGGGGCCCCGAAGAAGGAACCCTTTTGGTTGGGGAGGGGCTCCGCGTTCCTTAAGTGTTTCACAGCTTGCCTCAGGTTTTCCTAATGTTTCCGATAGGAACTCGAAGTTTAACATATGGAAAAAGGGGCCTCGTTCCTTGTTTAGGGTTCCTTAGATCAAGGCCCCGACTGTAGTGTCTTATGTTTTTTCCGAATCGTTGCGTGCAACGTGTGAGTGCTGATTGGACGAGATTTCGGCGCTCACTCCAGGAGTGGATGTGCTACTACTGAAGGGTACTGGCAGGGCACCGGTGAAGGACGAGGGTGTGATTCAGACGACGCTGCCGAATCGCACGTGCGTGCAGTTCGCATGGAGGGAATCCACGTGTGCGATCGTATCACGCGGACCTGTAGTGTGCTACGACCGGAACGTGCAAGACACTTCTGCGTCGGCGGTTCGGCAGAGTAACTGCGCTGGGGGAAGAGCTAACTAAACGGGAGCACCGTGGTAACGAATTGTGCCACAATGCAAGAAAGATGGAACAAAAAGGGCAGGGAGGGCGGCCGAAGGACGGGGAGAAGGAGCGGAGGGCCGCGCAGAGGGGCGCGGCTGGCCCCGCCGGCAGGGTCTGCGGCGGCAGCTGCCGCGGGGTTCCAGCGGCGGCGGGGCACAGTGCGGGTACCAGATAGAGTCCAGTGGGTCAAGGGTGCGGTGCAAGCAGTGCTAATGGCTGCGCGTGCCCCAGGTGGGAGTGCGGGTGCGGTGTGCCCAGCAGGATGCTGGGCCACAGGCGGCGGGCGGCAAGACCAAACCCGGGGCCCCAGCGAGGCGGCTGCAGGAACATCAGAAGTCGGCAGTGGACAAACCTCCCTTTAGTGAGCCTCCCTTTAGTGAAGACTGCCTGGGACCGAAACCGACGGACCTGGAACCGCAAACATGACGGCCGCGACGCCCTCTCGCGAACCGGAAACGGCCAATTCCTCAATCGACGTGTCAGGGTAGGAGGTCTGTCCACCCCCGAAGAAGACGGTCCAGCACATCGCCTTCCTGCCAGCATCTGGAGGTATAGCTGGCAGGTGCTTGATGGTCAATTTCAGGGCGGGCGCGGGCACGTCTGCATTCTTTCCAGCGCATCTGCCTCCAAAGGAAACGGCGCCGAGCATATTGAAAGTAGATGCTTACCGCGGGTAACTAGCATATTAGTAAAATGTGGACACTCGCGCATGATCATCATAGGCGGCGATTTCAATTGTTTTTTGTTTGGACTGTGGACAGATGCGACTGGTAGGAAGGGCGCCAAGGCCGACGAGACGGTGGACATCAAGAGTCCTGGTAGTAAAACGGCTATATCACAGGAAAGACCGGGGACCATTGACGATAGTTCGCGTGCACATCAGCAGCGTTCAAGTGTGGCAGCAGCGCCAAGATCGATGACCTCGCGGTGCCAACCTCGGCAATTAGCACATATTCGGCGATACGGACCATGAAAAGCTTGGGCAGGAGACCGCAGAGGACCGCGACCACCACAAGGCTGAGGATTACGTTGCTCTTGTAGTGGATATCGCAATTCAATTGGCAGAGGCACATCGTGAATCACAACGTCCAGCATTGAACCGGGACGGACTCGCTGGCGCGTGTCTATCTACATGGCAGATTGAGAACCAAGTGCTTGAAGGCAGTAGAGGAAGTGGAGCGAATACTAGGAGATCAATCGTACGTTCAGAAAGCTAGAGATTCGCTACGACGTTGCAGTCGCACCGGCTTGCAGCAGGTATTCCGGCCAGGTGACTATCGCTCGAAAAAGTACGAGCACATGTCATAATATATAGGAACATTTACCGCAAGGAGATGCGAGCCTTATGGGAGCAGCTTGGGGAACCCGACGGCAGATCGTTCGAGCAACAGAACTTGATCAAGTTTGACGGTGTATGTATAAAACTGGCACAGGTTACGGTTACCAGGCGCCTCCAAGCAGCAAGGCGACGGCAGACATGGGAACGGAAAGTCGTGTCAGCGCACAGATTACGTGCATCTTGGAGGAGGTGATATTTTGCTGTGCTGGGGTGCGCCGGCTCCAAAGACACCGCCAGCCGAAACAGGCAATGGGCCGAAAAAGAGGTTCATCTACAACGCGTGCCAAATTTTGCCGCCCAGAAAATGGACGAGTGGTCTCTGATTGCCAGCAGATGAGTCGTAGGATTGCCCGTTTGCGAAGTGAGCTGGGAAAGGGGGCTTCAGATTGCAAAGTTAATGTGTTGCAGAGGGTGTCTAGAGCTCCGACCACTTTATTCCGCGTCGCGCACCCCCCTTCCCCCCCTCGCGTCCCCAGCGCCAGAGCGGGACCCCCGCGCCGTGGGTCTCTGCCCCGAGCCCCCCCGCGCCCCAGCGCCCCAACGGGAGCCCCGCCCACTGCCCCCTCCGCCACGAACGCTTTATTCCGCGTCGCGACGCACACCACTTCCCCCACCTCCCTCCCAGCGCCCCCAGCGCCCCAGCGGGGGCTCCGCCCCGTGCCCCCCCCCGGCCCCGACAATTTGATTCCGCGTCGCGACGCACGCCACCTCCCCCCTTCCCCCTCCGTCCCCAGCACCCCAGTTGGACCCCCGCCCCGTGGCCGTCAGCCCCAAGCCCCGCACAGTGCCCCCGCCGCCCCGACCATTTGATTCTGCGTCGCGACGCGCACCCCCCCCCCCTTCCGCGCCCCCAGCGCCCCAGTGGGACCTCCGCCCCGTGCCCTCCCCGCTCCGAGCATTTTATCACGCGCCGCGGCGCGTGCCCCCCCCCCCCCCCTCCCCACCTTGGACTTGGGCCCCGCCGCTGGGCCCCGAGGGGGCTCTGTCTTGCCCCCTTTTTCCCCCCTCCTTCTCCACCTCCTCCTCCACCTCCTCCTTCTCCCCCTTCCCTCTTGGTGCCAGAGCCATGGCACACGTGCCACTTGTTGCCGAAGCGGGGGCGAATAACATCTCGATTGGCGAGGCCATGACCGACAAGAGCGAGCTCAAGTACCTGAGGCACGCGCCGAAGATGACAGCATGCCCCGCATAGGGAGTCACTTTGGAAGCGCTGTTCAGAATGACCGACACGCAACTCTATACACTTGGTGACGGAACGTTGTACCGCGATTTTGATCCATACGACACGGCGGATCAGTAACATTCATACTGTTGGCCAGTGTCATGCCCATGATTTCTTCGTACTGCCGATGGACATGTGGGCGAGCGGCATGCTGTGGCTTCGAATTCTTCGCGGCTCGACGCCTTCGGCGCGAGCTCTTTTACGGCCATTTGCTGAAGCAGACCCGGTGGCCAGAACCAGACCGTGTTTCTCACGGGTGTCTCATCTGGACGCCCGAGATGGGCACGGAAAGACTGGGTTCGATGCCCAACAGCAGTTCTTGTTCATTCTGAACAGGACTCGCTGTCCACGCCGCCGCGGCCTGTGTCCGTTCGAGACAGAAGGCCGCCTGCCCAACAGCGGCCGCTGTTGGTTTGGGACAACATTTGTTGTTGGACATTGTACCCATTCTTTCGGTACCCATTTTGGGTGTCCAAAACTCAGAGGCAGGCACGGACAAAAGCGCCTGCTCCTTCTGAGTGCGGCAGCTTGGAGGTGCAGGGGCGCGAAGGCGTCGCGCACCACCGCGAACTACGATGACGCGAGCGCGTTCGCACGCACGGGTGGCAACACACAGTCTGTCTGCTTGGCGTACCCCCATTCGCACATCCACAAACGATGGTCAGGCGAGTTGCCCTGACCAGGCACGTGGGGAAGCACGCCGTGGCATCAAGGCTGGGAAGCCGCCGTATCCCAAGATAGGGAGGATGGAGGAGGACCCCGAGGAGGAAGATGATGCTGATGATGATGATGATGATGATGATGATGATGATGATGATGATGATGATGATGATGATGATGGTGACGGTGATGGTGATGGTGATGATGGTGATGGTGATGATGATGATGATGATGAGGAGGAGGAGGAGGAGGAGGAGGAGGAGGAGGATTTTGGACGCTCTGACTCTGCGGCCCCCCTCATCCGGGTCCAGGGGGAGTGGGTGGGGGGGGGGGGGGGCAAACCGCTCCCCGAAAGGGAGGATGGAAGATGGAAAAGGAAACTCCCTCAACCACTCACGCCCAGAAGGCTAGTGGGACTCATGACCTACGTGAGCGTACAGCGTAACCCAGGCATCTGCGCATGTTACAAGCAGTTTCGAAAGGCTAAAACAGGCTCCAAGACAAGAGGCTTCAACACTGCCTTCAGGGGCTCCCGAGAGGCACCTTTGAGGGATCCCAGCTGGTATCAACAACCCTCTGGTTCCCAACACAGACACGGTGTCGAGGGTTTCACTGGGAAGCCTTTGGAATGTGAAACATCTTGCAGGACATTTTCGTATACTGGAGGATTCCTTAGGAATCTGAACGACACAGGCGGATTCTGTAGGGCTATGCCTCAAGAGTGCGACGTAATCCGGAGGATTGTGTTGGGTTTCTCAGGATGCCCTTCTGCGGCCATATTGAGCCGTCCTGGAGCTTTGGAAGCTTGAGGAGGTGCCAACGTTGCAAGTATTCATCAACTTTAGGGACCTCGACATGTTGGTCAACGAGGGCCCCCAACTGTCAGCAAATGCGCTGTGGATGTGTGAGTTTTTGTGGTGGAAGCTGTGGGGTGTACAGTCGGGTCCCTGAAGAAGGAACCCTTTTCGTTGGGAAGGGGCTCCGTGTTCCCTATTGTTTGACGGCTTGCCTGAAGTTTTCCTTATGTTTTCGATGGGGAATCGTAGTTCAACCTATGGTAAAAGGGGGCATCGTGCCTTATCTGGGGTTCCTTTGGTCAGCGCCCCGACTGTAAGCTGCGTGGGGCAGCATATGCGTGCTGCAAGACCAGAGACGGCAGGGGAGCGGCACCGGGCGGACACCCGTGGACATCTCGGCGGACCCACCCAGCGCACGAGTCGGAGGTGGATAGACCTCCTACCCTGACACGTCGATTGAGGAATTGGCCGTTTCCGGTTCGCGAGAGGGCGTCGCGGCCGTCATTTTTGCGGGTCCAGGTCCGTCGGTTTCGGTCCCAGGCCGTTTTCACCAAGGGGAGGTTTACTAAAGGGAGGTCTGTCCACCGCCGAACGAGGCGACGGGGCGGCCAAGGGGTCGCAGGCCTCGAGATTGACACCAACACCAATATCGGCGGCGTGCCTCCACCGAGGGATGAAGATCCCGGTCTCGGTGATGGTGGTAATATTTTGGCTTCCAAGGTGGCCGAAATATTACCACCAGCACCGAAATCTAGGATCATCTTCCCCCCTGTGGGGGGGTGTACGGGCGATTGTTTAGAGGTGGAAATTTTATTGTCCCCTCCTGCTCCGTCCCTCCCGCCTTGCCTCCGCTCGCCCATCGTCCTTCTCACCCCCTCAGCTCCTTCTTCTGAAGGAGTGACTTATTCATGTCGTATCTCGAGGCCAGTCGGACGGGCGGGCCGGGCGTTTCGCCTGAGAAACCTCTAAACAATCGCCCTGTGGGGGCCCATTTCCAGGCCTCCAAAGGAGGGCAACACGGGCGGAGCCTCGGCGGGCCCGCCCAGCGCACGATGGCGGCAGCGCGGCGGCGACGGGCGGCCGCGCGGCGCGACGCCTCGCGCCTGGCGGCGCTCGGGCGCGGGTGCGTTTCTGTTCCTCGGCGAGGGCCATCGACCTTCTCCTCCTCCTCCTCCTCCTCCTCCTCCTCCTTCTCCTCCTTCCTTGACCGTTTACCGACAAAAAACACGCACGAAGCCGACCAAAAAAAACACGGGGAATGGACGTCCGAGCGATGGCGAAACCTCGCGGGGCCAACCCAGCGCACGAGGCGGCAGCGAGGAGGCAACGGGCAGCCACGTGATGACACCTCGCCCATGCCCTGGAGGCACACGGAAGCCTTTTCTGGTGCAGGCGCCGTGAAGGTCTTTCTGTTCGCTCCTGGTGCTCCTCTTGGAGGCGTCCTGCGGTGTCTTGGGGCCCTGGGAGTATCCAGGGACGCCGACACAACCCTCCCAGAGACCCAAGTGGGAGCATAGAGAGCCCCCAGGAGGCCCGAGAAGGGCTTCCATCAGGTGCAAGATACACCGAAGTTTAAATCTGGCATGTGCCTCTACAGGAGGAGTCGTCAACAATAGTCAAAACATAGTCTGGGGACAATCTCTTTGAGGTATTTTGTTGAGTATTTTTCAAATCTTCGTCAGAAATCCACCTGTAGGAGGACATGCCCGACCTAAACCGAAGTGTCCGGCTCCATGCGGGATGGGGAGGACGATGTCAACGACGTGCCCCCCCATTTCTGCCTCCCTCCTGGTCGGGTTCCCTCCTCGTCTTATGATGTTGTAACTTGCTGCATTCTTGATCACCAGAATTTCGCGCACCAAGATAGGTACCGAAACAAGAGTGCTCTCATGTGTCGGGCCCTGGGAGGCGATGCTCGTTCGATACTGTGGCGATAACTTCTTTTGGGTGCTCGAAATGGTTTCTGGGATGTGGTCCTGAAGTGCGATGGGAGCAGCATCATCCCCGTCTCTCCTCCGCACCCTTCCTTCCCATCCTCTTCCTTTCGCCGTCTCTGTGAGCCGGCCGACCCTGCCGCTCTGGGGCCGCGCGTGCGGTGCCGTTTTCGTCTCAAGAGCATTCGCCTCCCCTGGGACAGCCTCTCTCTCTATCTCTCGGGGGTGGACAGAACCCCCAACAGTGACACGTCGATTAATGAATTGTCCGTTTTCGGTTCTCGAGATGGCGCCGTGGCCGGTATTTTCCAGGCTTGCGCCCGCCAGGTTTGGGCCTCAGGTCGTTTTCACTAAACCACGTTTTACTAAAGGGGGTCTGTCCATCCCCGAATCTCTCTGCTGTTCTCTCTCTCTCTCTTTCCCACTGTCTTTACCTCTCTTGACCTCTCTTTCCCACTCTTGACCTCTCTTTCCCACTCTTTCCCTCTCTTTTTCTATCTCTCTGTTGTTCTCTCTCTCCCTTTCTTTTTCCCACTGTCTTTACCTCTCTTGACCTCTCTCTTTCCCACTCTCTTGCCTATCTCTGTGCCACGGGCCTCCCTCGGCCGGCCTCTCCCTTTTCGCGCCCCCGGTGCCCCAGACCTCGGATCTCCTCCGCGCAGCCGGGCGCCCCCGGCAGCGGCTTCCCCTCCCGTCCCCGCCCTCCTCCTCCTCCTCCTCCTCCTCCCTCCTCCTCCTCCTCCTCCTCCTCCTCCTCCTCCCCCCCTCCTCCTCCTCCTCCTCCCCCCCTCCCGTCCCCGCCCCCTCCTCTTAAAACGACGCGAAGATCGGGACAAAATCGGATCGGGATGACTCGAAATCTCTGAGAATCGGCGGGTTCGGAGGATGTATCGGGCGCCGCGGCCGCTCCAGAGCGTTCCGGAACGCTCTGAGAGCGCTCCGGAACGCTCTGGAGCGATTTATCCCGATCCTAGCCCTGTTTTACCTCTCCCCTCCCATCGTTGCGCACCACATCCTTTACAGTGAGCGGCTTGAATAAGGAGCACTTACTTTTCAAAAGGGGCTCTGTCGTTCCTTAGGTTTCCATGCGTTGTTTGCAGTTCTTTATGCGTCATGTATTATTCATCGTTCCTGATGCGTCATCCCTTGGGATAAAAAAAGGGGCTTCGTTCCTCACTGATCGTTCCTTGGGTCAGGCCGATGACTGTACACCGCACAGCTGTCACCTCCACAGTCTTGCGAGTCACTGCCTGGTGCCCACGCTGGCCAGTACAGGTACAGCTCCTGTTGAGGAGCAGCACGGAGAGACAGACAGCGAGAGCCGAAGGGGCAGAGACCCGTCTCCCTCCGCTGCTTTTCCTCGCCCTCCTCACCCGACCTCCGAAGCGCCCCGCGGCGGCTGGGGGTGCCAGGTCTGGTCCGAGCTCATGAGGACCCGGACGAACTCCAAGGATGGCCTTCCCCCCCAGCGGGCTCTGTTGGGAGAGGCAGTCCGAAGAGCGGGGCTCACAGACACAAACAATTAGGCAACATTTCTTGTGGTGCTCCTCCGCACGAGGAGGAGGATGAGGAGGACGAGGAGGAGGAGGAGGAGGAGGAGGAGGAGGAGGAGGAGGAGGAGGTGTGGCCACCGCGGAACGGGCACGCCCCAGGTCCAGCAGCAACAGTGCCATTGTCGTGCTTCACTGCCCTAGTTACCGGTCAGGCGACGCCACGCCTGCCCATTGCCTGGGGTAGCGGCCACAATGTGTCCCTTTTGGGTGCACCAGGATGAGTGAGTGAGTGAGTGAGTAAGGAGAAGGAGGAGGAGGAGGAGGTGGAGCAGGAGGAGGAGGAGGAGGGGCAGGAGGAGGAGGAAGAGGAGGGGAAGGAGGAGGAGAAGGAGGAGGAGGAGGAGGAGGCAGACGATGACGACGGCGGCGACGACGACGCGGTCATGCTGGAGGCGGGCGCTGTCAGGGAGCGAGCGAGATCACTGACATGCTGTGGTGCGATCCGTAACATGAGGGCCGATCCCATGACGGAGGGAATCATCGACTGGGAGCATGTGCTGGAATACCAATTTCGACCACGCCACGATCAGACTGAGCGACGAGAGGCGCAACATTACCGTTCCCAGCTCCCGCCACAGCGGCCTCAAGACGGATGAAGAGAACATTTCACCGACGTGATACACAGCCGGAAGTTTCGCTACATGTACGCCGGGTGCAGAGCGTAGCGTCGGTGGTCGCATGTCGCGGCCTGTGCTCGCGAATGCGACGTAGGTAGAAGCAACGCCAGCCGCATGTTGTGAACTATGTTCGCGAATACGACGTAGCAGGGAAATGAAACGACGCCCGCATAAGGCGAACCATGTTCTCAAATGCGACTTAGTGAATCCTGCAGGTGAAGGGGCGGTGACCATGAACTGTGTTCGTGGAGCAGCAGTTTTCTATGGGGTGTAGCGCGTGAGTCGTTTTGGTGTGCTCCCCTGGTTATGTGCTTCCCTCTTGCCTTTCGCAGACTTATCGTAATGAGGGGCCTGGTTTGTAGACTGCCTTGTTTATACTTGCCTCCTTCTGCATGTGCTGTCGCGGGATGCTGTCTAGGAGCTTTCCCGGGCGCCGTTGTCGTCCTTTCCCGTGCGCCGTGCAAGTTTTTTGCGTTTGCTTTTTGGGGGCCGCGGTGCTTTGGGACGGCGCGAAGTCCGCCTTTCCTGGCGCGTGGCGAAACCAAGCCCCACGATTCTGCTGCAAGTGCTTCTGAAGCCTCGTTGGTTGCGGCACGGCTTGCGTGCTGTAGCCGGCGGGGCTCAGGCAGACTCGCGTTTGCACGACGCTCGAAAGGGGATCTCTGACGTGCTCCTGCTCTCTGATCTCTGTCCAATCGTCCCCCCCTTCGCCACGGCAAACGTTGCTCTGGAGAACGGCAGGCGGCCGCCTTCCGTGCCCGTGTTAGCCGCGTGTTCGACATACTCCGTGTTCGTATCAGCTGCGTTGAAAAAAAGGTGCCACGTGTCCTACCATCCGTTTTCATAGTGCTTGCGCTCTCGGGCGTTGGTGTCGTTGCTGTTATTGCCAGAATTCAACTTGTTGGCGAGGGAATAGTCGACCCAGCTGCCCCCCTCTTCAGGCACATGCGTTGTGCCCCGTCGTATGAATTCAAACTTTCGGCTGACAGCGACCGTCGCTGTGCACGCACACGCTCATTGCGCCTTTTCTTTCTTTTGGGGGGGTATTTCCGTGGGTTGCCACCACCACACCACGGGCCGCAGAGTTGTCAATTTGGCTACTCCTTTCCCAAAAGGGGGGAGGGCGTGGTGCTGGGAGAATTGACTTTTCATATTAATGTGGACTGCAGGCAGGCACCCGTATCAAAGCAGGGGGGGTGAATGCCATGTTCTTTTCGCCCTGGTTTTCATGGTTGAAGGCATGAAGCCTTTGAGGTTCAACCTGCCCTCTCTTTCCGCTTCTCCCACACATCCGACGCCGTACCTTCATGCCACAGCGTGGCTTCCCAGAGTTCTAGACCTCCCGACGACTGGGTCTTTCACCCCGACAGTCATTGTTTCGACGAACGCCTTCAGGGGCCAAACGTTGCCCAAAACTACCCGTCTTGATTCTTTCACGGCGAGTGGACGTGGGGGTCCCCCCCTTCTTCCCTTTCCTCCTCCCCACCATCATGTGTCTGGGGGGGAAGGGGGGTGGCGGCGCCGCAGAGGACCCCGAGGAGGGCCTTGTGGCGAGGCTGCAGCAGGAGCTCGTGCGCTGGTACTCCACAGCGCGCCGCGCGTTGGGGGCTGGAGGGCGCGCCGAGGGGGGAGTCCCTGGGGCGTCTGCGCGACGGGCCCCTCTGGGGTGTCAGCGCCCCTGTAGCCTGTAGGCTTGACGGGTCTTGTCCGGTCGACTTGCGGGGATCAAGACAAGACAAGTCGAGGAATAGCATGGCAATTCCATTGACATCGATCACATATGTATGTGTTCACATTCATGCATACATCCACAAACAAGCTGCATGTATGTACGTATGTATGTATGTACGTGCGCACGTGCATAAATATATATATATATATATATATATATGTGTATATGTATATGCATGTGTATATGTATGTATGCATGCATACATGCATGCATGTATGTATGTATGTATGCATATATGTATATATATATATATATATATATATGTATGCATGCATGCATGCATGACTGCATCTATACACATATACATGTGTGTATACATAGATGCATGTATGGCTGCACGCCTGTGTATGTGTATGTGTATGGGTATGGGCATGTGTATGTGTATGTGTATGTGTATGTGTATGCGTATGCGGATGTGTACGTGTATGTGTATGTGTATGTGTACGTGTGTATATGTGTGTATGTATGCATGCATGCATGTACGTACTTATGCATGTGTGTATGTATGTATGTATGTATGTATGTATGTATGTATGCATGCATGCATGCATGCATGTATGTATGTAGGTATGTATGTATGTACGTGTATACATGTATGTAGGTATGTATGTATGTATGCATGCATGCATGCATGCATGCATGTATGCATGTATGTATGTGTGCATGCATGCATGCATGCATGCATGCATGTATGTATGTATGTATGTATGTATGTATGTATGTATGTATGTATGTGTGTGTATGTATGTATGTATGTATGCATGCATGTATATATATATGTGTGTATGTATGCATGCATGCATGCATGCATGCATGCATGTATGTATGTATGTATGTATGTATGTATGTATGCCTGCGTGTATCCGTGTACGCATGAATGCATGCATGTATGTAGGTAGGTATCCAGATATGTTTGTGTATATGTATGGATGTATGTACGTATGTATATGTGCTCCATAGAACTCACACATCGTGGACGCTCCAGCGCGAGACGAAGGACCGCTGAAGTTGTTAAGTCAATCACGCCAACTATCCTCCTCTCCCTCTACCTCCTCCTCTACCCCCCGATCGCCGGTCCCAGGTTTGAGGCGTCTGTCTGCCTCTCCCTGGCCTTTTTCGAGCGAGGGAGGGGCAGGGGGGCAGACGAGCGCGGAGGAGGGAGGGGGCCCGATCCCCAACGACGTGAGCTGTTCAGCCAGCGGGAACCGCTTTCGGGCCCCAGGGCTATCATACATGGAGCCATGGAGAAGAGCTACCCCAGGGGAAGCGGTTGAGATCACCAGAGCCGTGGACTGGACACATCACACCGGCGGATGTCAGGGGATGGAGGCGGGGGAGGAGAGATGGAAGTGGGGTGGGGGTGGGTGGGAGGAGTAGGGCCGACGGGAAGGGGGAGGGGGAAGCAGAGGAGCGGCAGCAGGGTATGGAGGAGGAGGAGGAGGAGGAGGAAACACTGAGGCTGTGGGTGAAGGAGAGGGAGGAGAGCAGAGAATAGAAGCAGCGTCAGTACATCCGAAGAAGAAATCATGTTAGCCAGCGTGGACCACAAACAGTAGGATATTACACCCTATGCGGTGAAATCTATGTGATGCAATTGACTACCCTGCACCGCGCTTGACCACTCCACTGCTCGCGCAAACATCCTACCCACCCACCCGCAACTTGGTTCGCAAAATCTCTTAAGACCGTGACGGTGGGTACCAAATGGCACTTGCCGACGACAGTGACGCCGACGACGACAGCGACACCGACGACGACGCCGCCGACAACGACTACGACGACACCGACGACGTCTCCAACGACTTCGACGACGCCGGCAACGACGACGACGACGACACCGACGACGACGACGCCGACGCCGACGACGACGACGACGATGACAACGACGACGACGATGACGACGCCGACGTCGACGACAACGACGACGCCGACGACGACGACGACGACGACGTCAACGACGCCGACGACGACGACGACGACGACGACGACGGCGGCGACGACGACGACGCCGACAACGACGACGAAGACGACGACGACGCCGACGCCGACGACGACGACGAAGACGACGACGACGCCAACGACGACGACGAGGGAGGAGGGAGGACGACGACGGCGACAACGGCGACAACGACGACAACGACGAGGGAGGAGGGAGGACGGCGACGACGCGAACGACGAAGGAGGAAGTACGGCGACGCCGACGACGGCCGACGACGAGGGAGGAGGGAAGACGACGACGACGACAACGACGACGACGACGACGACGACGGCGACGAAATAGGAGGGACGACGACGGGACGCCGACGACGGACGACGACGACGACGAGGGCTGAGGAGGAGGAGGAAGGACGACCACGGCGACAACGACGACGGAAACGACCACGACGCCAAAGAGGACGACGACGACGAACGCGAGGAAAGACAGAGGACGACGTAGGCGACGACGACGACGACAACGACGCGGGATGAGGGAGGACGGCGACGACGACGTCGACGACGACGCAAGAGCGCGCGCGCACGCTTTTGTTGAAAATCCGTGTTGCGAAACCTTGGGTTTTTGTAGGTTTTTTGGACGCGCGATTTCGAAATCCTTCCGAAACCGATGGGTTTTGAAGGATTTCGGCGTGCGCGCGCGACCACGCGCGCGTCTGCCCCTCGGCCACATTTTTTTGCAGAGGATTCTCGCGACGGCACACGCGCAAGGGCGTTCGGCAGATTTCGACACGCGCGCGCGCGAAGCCCGTTTGGAAGCATTTTGTGAAAATCTTGCAAAAACTATGGTTTTCTTAAGATTTCGCAAGAGCTCGCGCGGAAGCTTTTTTAGCAAATCAGTGTTGCGAAACCTGTTGTTTTTGTATGTTTTTGTGAAACTCGATTGCGACATCCTTCCGGCACCGAAGGTTTTTGAAGGATTTCGGCATGCGCGCGCGACGACGCGCGCGTGTGCACTTCGTTTCATTTTCTGCAAGGGATTCGTGAAAAAGTGTTATGTTAGAACAAAACATTTCACCGCATAGTGTTTTTTACCAGGGAACCTCGTGGGGGGGGAAGCCGGCCTGCCTGGGATGGTACGATATCAGATTTAGGATGGACGAGTGTGCAGAATATATATATATATATATATATATATATATATATATATATATATATATATATATATGTATATGAACTTATATTATCCGAGGGGGAAGCGTTAAGTCCGGGGGGGGGGGTAGAATCTATTTTCTTTTTAGAAAGAAGAATGTATGCGATGTAACCTCTGTGCTACAACCTATGTGGTGCAATTGCCTACCCTGCACCGCGCTTGACCACTCCACTGCTCGCGCAAACATCCCACCCACCCACCCGCAACTTGGTTCGCAAAATGTCTTAAGACCGTGACGGTGGGTACCAAATGGCACTTGCCAACGACAGCGACGCCGACGACGACAGCGACAACGACGACGCTGACGCCGCCGACAACGACTACGACGACACCGACAACGTCTCAAACGACTGCGACGACGCCGACAACGACGACGACGACGACGACACCGACGACGACGGCGCCGACGCCGACGACGACGACGACGACGATGACAACGACGACGACGACGATGACGACGCCGCCGACGACGACAACGACGACGCCGACGACGCCGACGACGTCAACGACGCCGACGACGACGACGACGACGACGACGACGGCGGCGACGACGACGACGCCGACAACGACGACGAAGTCGACGACGACGACGACGCCGACGACGACGACGAAGACGACGACGACGTCGCCAACGAAGACGACGACGAGGGAGGAGGGAGGACGACGACGGCGACAACGACGACAACGACGAGGGAGGAGGGAGGACGGCGACGACGCGAATGACGAAGAAGGCGGAAGGACGGCGACGCCGACGGCAACGACGAGGGAGGAGGGAAGACGACGACGACGACGACGACAACGACGACGACGACGACGGCGACGAAATAGGAGGGACGACGACGAGACGCCGACGACGGACGACGACAACGACGACGAGGGAGGAGGAGGAAGGACGACCACGGCGACAACGACGACGGAAACGACCACGACGCCAAAGAGGACGACGACGACGAACGCGAGGAAAGACAGGACGACGTAGGAGACGACGACGACGACAACGACGCGGGAGGAGGCAGGACGGCGACGACGACGACGACGACGACGACGCAAGAGCGCGCTCGCACGCTTTTGTTGAACATCCGTGTTGCGAAACCTTGGGTTTTTGCAGGTTTTTTGGACGCGCGATTTCGAAATCCTTCCGAAACCGATGGGTTTTTAATGATTTCGGCGTGCGCGCGCGACCACGCGCGCGTCTGCCCCTCGGCCACATTTTTTTGCAGAGGATTCTCGCGACGGCACGCGCGCAAGGGCGTTCGTCAGATTTCGACACGCGCGCGCGCGAAGCCAGTTTGGAAGCATTGTGTGAAAATCTGGAAAACCTATGGTTTTCTTAAGATTTCGCAAGAGCTCGCGCGGAAGCTTTTTTAGCAAATCAGTGTTGCGAAACCTGTTGTTTCTGTATGTTTTTGTGGAAACTCGATTGCGACATCCTTCCGGCACCGAAGGTTATTGAAGGATTTCGGCATGCGCGCGCGACGACGCGCGCGTGTGCACTTCGTTTCATTTTTTGCAATGGATTCGTGAAAAAGTGTTATGTTAGAACAAACAATGTCACCGCATAGTGTTTTGTACAAGGGACCCCCAGGGGGGGAAACCGGCCTGCCTGGGATGGTATGATTTCGTGTTTCGGATGGACGAGTGTGCAGAATATATATATATATGTATATATACATATATGTATGTGAAAT